AAACCACATGGAAAAAAATGTTCAGCCTTAGTAACAAATAAAAAAAAAAATCCAACTTTAAACACTGATGATATATAACCCAATTTAGTCCTCACAAGGGGAAGTCTACGTCCTTCCTAATGCCTTCAGAATTCTTCAGAATTACTTGTAATCCTTTATAAATCTTACTCCATCTTAGCTCCATGACTTCAGTGCATGGATGAAACATCTTAACCATTTCATAATGCTGTCTTTTTTGCACACAATGTGCCACATACATGGACCTTTTCCCATTTCTTCATTTTCAGAATAGACTTGCCAAAGGGTTTATGGTGGCAAAGAGAGTGAGTCACTTTTTCTAAACTCTACTTCTTTTAAAGATTGCTTTGCTCCCTCTACTTTCAGAATTCCTGGCCTCAGATTCAACTCACCCTCCCACCCCCATCACACCCAGCCCCAACCCCATTCTGAATCTCCTACCTACATCAAAACTGAACTTCCCTCATATTTTCTAATATTTTCTCATCCCCTTCTTGACTCAAGGTGTCCTAAACATGAATATTTTCTCCTAAAAAATAACTCTCCTTTCTATCTTCCACCTCCAGAACTGAGAACTGAACTGACAGAGACTGAAATTTCCTGCCCTGCCCTTCTATCAATTCCATGAAGTTTTTGAAAAGAAAGGAATGGTTTAGAAATTTGTCCTTTCATTATTTGGAATTATGCCTCATCCTTTAAAAAGTAGGAACTGATGCAGTCAGTTTGGCCTTTAAGTGTCATTTTTTCTTCTTTTATATTACTATGATTTTCACAACAATATTACTCAGTGCCAGTGATGGTACTGGAAAATAGTCACATTCCCACATAACTACCAGGAGTGCAAAAGGATAAAATTTGCTGGAGAGCAAATATAAAGAGCAATAAAGTGAAGACATTTCAAAGAAGTTATACCTTTGAACCTAATAATTTCACTTTGAGAATTTTAAGTTAGACGTAACAATTGATGAATTAAGATTTTTTTTTTGTTTCAGGATGTTGCTTACAGTACTGTTTATAATAGAAAATTTAAAAGTCCAGTGACAAGAACAATCAAATAGATCATGATATTTTCATACAAAAGGCAACCAATAATAACATATTTTTTGAGAAAATTGTATGGCATGGGGAATTGTGTTTCTCTTGTTATTGTATTTATACTCGGTATAAACATGATTAATTGATTTGTGTGTACCTTCCAAAGTTCCAGACAGTGCCTGCCATCTGGTATGTGCAAAAATATTTATTGAATGATGAATAAATGAATAAAAGATGAACGGTTTTTGACCTGATGAAATTTTCTTTCTTTTCCTCTAACGATTTATGATTCTACCGACTCTTCTTTTTCAGAATATACAGATAGAAAGAGAACATAAATGCTTATAACAATGGAAAACAAAAGAAGCCTCAAAGTAATGACTTGAGGTTTCTGGTCCACAAGCAAGGAGCTTGGAGTGACAGCCTTGTCCTGACCACATGTAAATAGCCAAACAGACTGAGAATTAATGACTCTTCCTGGATCCATAAGGAAGGGGAGGCACAAGGCAAATGGCTGCCCCCAAGACAGACAGGCAAATAGAGAGTCCTGGCTTTCAGAGCAGAGATTATAAGTAGAACTCACCCTGGAAACAAGTGCCAGTGTGGGTAGGCAAAGCAGAACTGTAGTTGATGAATTACGGAGGCTCAGTATGGACAATTCTGAGAATTACAATGAAATACTGAATTATGTTCATACTATGAAGAAGGAGGGGGAAGGGCACAAGAAATCATAAATTTCCTGGTAAAAACTCATCTCTACTGCTTGGATAAATAGACCCAAGTGTTTTTGGTGACTACCTTCAACAGTTAGATAGTATTTATAATCCAAGGATAGCACATTTTCCCAAAATTATGACAAACACCTTTTACTCATGCTCTCACTCACTTTTGAAGAAATAACAGCTAAGTATTCCATGAAGAATGCTAACTTAGACCAGCAGGAGCCTATACAGACTCTATCTGTTTAGCTGTTAGTCTGAAACCAAGGTTTCCAACAATGCATAATCCTTGTAAAATTACTTAGTTAAATATCTTCCAGAATAATACATTCAGTGAAGAAAATTTTCAATATTAAAGCTATTTGTTCTAAGGTAAGATTAAAAGACAGGTATTGTACATATATTTATAAACCATGGCCCTTTGGAGCATCATAAACTATAATATCTAATAAATTTGCCCCTTTCTTCTGAACCAATATTTGCTCATGTGAGGGCAAAATCCCCACTGAGATGTATGTTCTGCACTATTCCTATAGAAAAAACCAACAAACAAAAAACAATGCAATGCTGGGTCTATCGGATTATCTTTGTACAAAAGATTTATAACCTATAAAAAAAGGCAGCATACTATTTTCTTAAGCATTTGATTCAATCAGGCTTTTTCCCTAATAATTCCTACTTCTCTGAAAACTGAGTTGGGGGATACGAACTAAAATTTAAAAGAAAATGAGACTTGGAGAACAACCACAAAAAACAACAAATGATTAAATTAGAGGAAAAACTCACCATCTATTCTAGCACTCCTGACATTCCTTTGATAGATGGCTATTGGCAAGTCTATACATAGTTGCTGGCATGTCTCTCTTTGCCCCCACCCTCTATTCTCTCTCCATCATTCATTCTGCATATAACATATACAGCTACATATCTATATCACTGAGAAAGGATCAATCATTTTTTCCCTCTGCTGCTGAGACATGCAATATTTATCACAGGTTATAGAAAAGAAGAAAAGAAAAATCTAAGAATATTCCCTTCAGCTGTATTTTTGTTGTGGAACCAGGAGCATCCCAGTTCTCTTCATTTTGCTTAGTTGTCAGCTCAGTCCAGAACAATCTGTAGTGCAACAGGGCTGCTTAAGTTAGGTACCCACTGGCCACTGGAAAGAAAAACAGACCTGGTTATGGGTGATCTTCCTCACTATATTAAACACAGCTCCCATTAGGCATATTCCCTTCCATTTCTTTAAACTCTCAATACCTTGTAAATCAAATATTTATCAACTGAGAACCTCTCTTCTAACTGTCTGATGTTTCAGTTCTGACAAAGTTGGACACTAGCCAGTTGGTGAAGAAACCTGTGAAAGGAAATCATCCACAAGAAAAAAGAAAACCCTATTTCATTTTTATTTCACAGGAACAAACTGCCAGCAACCTCTCCCGCCTCTCTCAGCCCACTATTTTTCTTTAAACTTGCTCTTGTAAAAATGCTTGTCTAGAATCAGCAGTTCTGGCCACTCATTTAATCAACAAATATTTACTGGACATTCACTGGCAGGGGTCATGTGTCTTTGGGTGCTTGCAATCCATATTAAAAAGCTATTTAATGTGGACACCATGACTAATATGTAACTCAGAAGTATATGCATAAGGCACTATGATTTGCAAAGGTGGATCAGGATCAGTTTGACAGACCATATGTTTAAGGAGACTAGAAGGAGCTGTTTATAGAAAGCTCTCTGAAGGAGATAAGCCTTGAACCCAGACTTAAAACAGGAGAAGGAATCCATATGGTGAGTGGGCAGAGAGAGGTGACAAATCTACGTGAAGGCATAATTGGCAGATTTCCAGGAAAAGTAGTCGCTCCAACAAAATCACCATCTTGATGGCCCACAGTTAAAATGAGTCAGAATCAGTTTCATAACTCCTCAATAATCAATCATATAGACCCTTACCTAAACTATCAGTGATTATCTACAAAATATCTTCAACTAGGACATTTAAATGTAGGGTTTATCTTTCATTCACTGTGGTTACTAACTTACTGGTTTTTCAAAAGGATAGACTCAACACACAGAAAATAAATTTGTTTATCCAGGACCCAGGTTCATCCTCTATTTTCTTCTTAACTCTGATACATCACAGTGACACATGGCAACTTTTGAACATATACTCTCCCAGGACCCATCACTGGAGTTTCTGATCCAAAAGATCTAGGGGTAAAGCCAAAGCGTGAGTGTTTTTCAAATACTCTTTGGCTGATGCTAAGTTGCAATGCAATTGCAAACTATGGCTCAGCACAATTTCTTATTGCAACTGAGATCTAGCTTATCACATGAGACCATCTACTGATTCTTTTGAAAGTTGGTTCTTTATCACAATATTCATTTTTTCCATTTTCAGTACCTACATTCCCTTTTGGGAGAAAAATAGTGACCACTCTACTTCCCAGACCTATAATGATTTCTGTGTACATATCTCACATAACACTAACCTACGAACTCCTATGTGGGCTGAGTATGCAATGCTATTAGCAGAACCCTGATGGCAGCCACAGTACCAGGAGTTCTGGGTAATCCACGTTGGTTTATATCCCACGTGTGTGTACATGTAACTAAAAAAACAAAGGGAAGTAGATGAAGTGTTGGTTCCTGCTCTTATGTCATGTGCCCATGTAACACCTTATTGGGCACCGGGCGACAACTAGTCATGTCATCAAATCCTTTTTCATGAATCTTACAGTGTAGCAGAAAAGGCATAAAATGAATAAGTATGTACAAAACACATGATGACTTGTATGCTAAGTGCTGGAAGAAAATCAAGAAGCTGCAGTGAAAGAGGAAAGACAAAGAGCCTTCCCAGATGAGAGAGTCAGAGAAGATCTCTTTAAATTGGTGACATTTAACATTTAAGCTTTCAGCTAAGACCTTAAGGGTAAGAAGACATTTTAAGCATGTGAGAAAACCTGGGGATGGAAAGAACTTAACCATCCTGGGCCATCTCTAAAGTGATGAAATTGAGCTACAGTGCTTCAAATGATACTTCCTGCTCTAAAATTCTATAAAGAACAGACTCAAGTAATTAGTGGGTTAGTAGGGAAATGAAAAGCATTAAGCAAAGCATTTTATTCCAATCTGATAGACACACTAAAGTTAGAGATAGAAAAGATCTGTTTGTCTAATTCTAATTCCACCAATTGGTTTAATGACCCAGAAATAAGGTTACTCACCCTTTCATCTTAGTAGAACCAGGAACCTCTATTCACAGATCATCTATATGGCATTTCTTGAAAACATCACTTTAAAAGGGAAAGCTTAATGGACGAAAATACATAAATGGATAATGTTAAAAGATAGGAATCAATTATTTTCATTAGTCATTAGACAGAACAAGAACTAATGGCTTTTAGCTGTAGTAGGGAAAACTTGGATTAAATAGAGCGGAACCTCACTAATTCTCATTTCAATAATTCCTAAACCCTATAATTTCCCGAAAGAAAGCTGACCATCTTAGCTATATTTCAGTAAGCATTTAATAGCACAAAGGCAAGTCGAGAGCTCTCATGAATTAGATTCCATTACTCTCCAAAATAATCTATGTTTGTGAGGTGATATCCCACATAATATTACTAATAAGGCAAGTACTTTGTCCAGAGTAACAAGCTGAACATAAATTTGTCTATGGCAGTCTTCTGTATTATAGAACTATGAATGTCAGTCGAGTTCTTATTTTCAAAATCAACAAATCATCAGGGACTTTTCCATTCATCAGTGTGAATTTAAAAAATAATCACACATCAGAGTACCCTCTTTCCACCAGGAAAGGTAAAGTTTGTTTCATAAAAGTTTCCATTAAGTTTTCTTAAAACTTCTATGTTCCATCTTTGTATATTCAGAACACAAAAATACTTCCAGAGGGCCTCCTTGGTGGTGCAAGGGGTTAAGACACAACCTATGAAGCTATCCGCGGCCACTGCAGCACGAGTTTGATCCCCCGCCAGGGAGCTACCCACATGGTGCAGCAGACCTCTCCTGACTCACCTGCTGCTCCTCTCAGCAGTGTATTTCAGTCAGTCTGCCTGTTCTGTTTCCCACTCTGTCTCTGGTGAATCCTCTCAACTCCCACACCTCTGGCCTGTACCCCAGTTCTTATATACATAAATAAATAAATCTTAAAAAAAATACTTCCAGAGCCTACAATGGGCTCAAAATTTTCTTAAAAACAAAAACACTCAATAATGTCATGTCTGTTTTAGCATTTAGGAGGCTAACCATTTGTCTTTTTTAGCTTAGAAAGCTGGTGGCTGTGCTTGGGCATGGGTTTATTCAACACTTCAATGTGTTTGTTATCAATCCTCACCACACAGAGATGGGCTGCAAACCTGCAAACACTCCATGGACATATCAGTAATTTGTGATCCAAGTCTAAAACGTATCTGTTTTAAACTGAGGATATACCCTGTTGTGTGACAGGCAGTGTCTCATCAGATGAGAGAGAGGACTACAATTTGCTAGAAGTTAAAAGAATGAAAGGTATAGCATAATAACAAAGTAGGTAATGCTAAATAAATGCTACTAGTAATACCAGTACTGAGCAATTGCTAAGTGTCAAGTGCTTTTGGAACACTTTATTACTTCTTTTAATCTTCACAACAGCTCTCGAGGGATGTATTGTTATTATTCCTATTTTTGAGAGTAGGAAACAGAGACTCCTAAAGATTAAGTAACTTTCCTAATTTCAAACTGCAAATGGTAGAATTGGATTTGAATTCAAGCAGTCTCACTCCAAAGTCTATTCTCAACTCATACACTGTAATTCAAGTTATTAACACATAAGAATTTTTTTTTACTATACTAAACCAATTATTTTTATTATTTTTGGTTATTCCCAATTCAAAGTCCCCTGAAGTCTCCCATATTAAACCCATGTTGAAGGATTCATATCACAGGGTTTTTTCCAGACTGAAAAGGGCATATACCTTCTTCCATGATGATCTTGATCTAGCAATAAGGCTCATCACTTTAATTTAAAAGTCCATTGACACAGAGGGAAAAAAGATCCACCCTTTTCAGATTGTGGAAGGAATCTGAAAACCAAAGGTAGAAAAGGAAGACAGATATCTATCTTTATTATTTTCTTCCCCTTCCCCCCCCCCCAACTTTCTCATGACTTTGGGAAAATAGAGGAAGTTGGGTGCAGGGGGAAGTTGGATAAATCTACAGTTTAGTTTAAAGAAGCAACAGAGTGAGGAAGCCTGTATCTATCTCCTATTTACCCTATGCTCCCCTCCCCCTGTCCCCATCAAGAAAGTGACCTCAGGCCTCCCCGGTGGCGCAGCAGTTGAGTGCTGGGCTGTGAAGCTGCCCACAGCCTCTGCAGCACCAGTTCGATCCCCGGAGGCCGGCGAGGGTCCCACATGGTGCGCAAACCTCTCCTTCCGCACCCACTGCTCCCCTCAGCAGTGTATTTCGTCAGTCTGCCTGTTCTGTTCCCTGCTCTGGCTTTGGTGAATTCCCTCACCCTCCCGTGCTTCTGACTGCACCCAGTGCTTGTATAAATAAATAAATAAATAAATCTTTTAAAAAAAAAAAAAAGAAAAGAAAAGAAAGTGACCTCAACAACTCCCAGTTCTGGCAAGGGAAAAACCAGAAATCTGCTCTCTTGTGCACCCTCAATCCCTGACAGTGGAGAGAGGGGTGAGAAGTTGGACTGCAAATTCCCACTTGTTACCAAAGGGATACTAGGAAATGACTTGAGTCTCAACTAAGCAGAAGAGAATGGACCTTGGGGTTCAGGATATCACACTTCAGCTGTCGACACTATTAGAGCAAGAAGAGGGAAGTCTGTACTTGAGTACTCAGCCCCGAAAGCAACTCAGAATAGTCATCCACAGCAGAGACCAGCATGTTCAAGCTGCAGTGACCCACAGTCAGGTGTACACATGCCCTCCCTCATGGACCTCAAAAGCCTCTTTAAGAATTGAGATGGGCATCGTGGTTTAAATTGTATCCCCTCTCCCCAAAAGATACACTGAATTCCAAAGCACCAGTACCTCAGGATGTGGCCTTATTTGGCATTAAGGTTGCCACAGACATCACTAAAATGAGGTGAAACTGGAGCTGGGAGGGTGCCTAGTCCAATAGCACTGAGCTTGTGAGGAGAAGGCTCGTGAAAAGCCAAATCAGCCCAGAGCATGGCATGGTGATAAAAGCAGAGACTGTAGTTCTGCAACCACAAGTCACTGAACCCCGGTGACTAACATTTTAGCAGGAATTAAGATAAGGAATTAAGATAAGGGGAGGTGCAATTGTATGGGGAATACAACCAAAACAAAAATGCATACATTGTGCAAAGATGAAAAAAGATGTAAGAATTATATAAAATAAAATATTTAAATAAAAAAATAAATTAAAAATAAATAAAATAATTTTTTTTAATTAAAAAAAAAAAAAGAGATAAGGCCAGGAATTTTCTGAAAACTTTCAGGTAGGGCATGACATTGCCACTACCTGATTTTGTATTTCTGGCCTCCAGCACCGTGAGGCAACAAATTTCTGGGCGGTAATTTGTTCTGGCTGCCCTACCCTAGGAAACAAATATAATGAGCATGGAGATGGGATTCCAAAAGTCAGAGTATTTTATTTGAGCAGTGCTACTGAAGCCATTTAATATCAAGTGATCTGAACACTAAAATAAGATATATCTGATTCCCTTACACACATGATCTAGTGGATGGGGGTTTACGAATGAGATCAGCTTACTATTGAAAAATTGAGAATTTACATTTTCTTTGTATATCTGAGTACAGGATGAGTATATTTCTGATCTCACATCATGTGTTTACTAACAATGTTAGAAGTTTGCCTCATAAATAAGAACACATGGATAGGGCAGTAAATAATCCTATGCTTTTGAATGGCAGCAAGTTAATAGCATGATAAAAAAAAAAATCCCAGTTTTTCCCAATTTGTTTATTTAAATGACTTCTTCCACTTTATTTCCTTTAAGTATGCTGCCAGAAATTCCAGTACTGTAAAGTGTTGACCTCCGATGCTTGAGAACCTCAACTCATCATTCCCTCCTTCGCACACTTTGTCAACCAGGCTCTTTTTTTTTTTTTTTTTTTTTTTGTGGGGCCCTCACCAGCAGTGGGGGAGTAAACAGACCGGCAGTAAACAGACAGAGCCTCAGAAACCAGAAAGACTTCCAACGAGCAAGGCATGGGGGCATGACAGACCTAAAGGGGCCAGGTGGATGATGGGGTAGATTCCATACAAAACACCATAACCTGGGTCACTTAAAACCACAGAAAGTTATAGTCTCACAGTTCTGGAGGCCAGAAGTTCAAAAGCAAGGGGTCGGCAGGGCAACACTCCCTCTGCCCCAAAGAAGGAGCGGTTGCTGTCTCCTAAGTCTGGTGGCTCCTGGCAACCCTTGGCACCACTGACCTTGCAGATACATCACCCCTTGCAGATACATCATCCACAGGACTTATCTTAACTTGATTACATCTGCAAATAGCCTATTTCCAAACAAGGACACAAACACAAGTAACTGGGGCTAGGACTTTAACATGTTTGGGGGATACAACTTAAACCCACACCATGTGGTGATGGGTATTAAATAGATGCTGACTTTGAGATAGGAGCCAGTGATGACAGGTTCCCCTCTCCACATCCTCCTTCAACAAGCTTCTGCACCATGCAAGGCCTCTGGAACCCAGTCCACATTCCAGAGAAAGGAGAATAAACCCATGGAATGAAATCAAGTGGCACCGCCTGGGAGAATGGATTTAATATGCAAACTGAGGTGTAGCATTGTTACATTTTGCTTTCATAGGTTATGGACTGAATTTGGACATACTGTAATACAGAGGACGTTCGCAGAGTATTCAGGGAACACAAAGAAGATGTATAAAACCAAAATAAGGGTTAGGAAGCAGTGGCCTTGAGCTAAGCTGCACAAGAAGAGCGGGAATTAAGTACACAGCAACAAAGGATAAGAAAAATGCAAGGCCTTCCATGCAAAGAGCCATGTAAGCTTAGGCACAGATGCCAGAAAGAATAATCAGGGCACTGGCAGTATTTTCCTATGACTTATGGAAGAGCTGTATGAGGAAAAAAAAAAAGGAGATGGGGCTAGAGAGGGGGCTAGTGCAGCTCATGCATGTCAAAAAGACGGCTCCAGCAGTTAAATGAAGGAGAGTGAAAACGGCAATCTAGAGACAGACCAGTTAGGAGATAACTGCAATAAATCCCACTAAACCAGTGGAGGCTGGAATGAAGGCAGTGATGGAAGGAATGGAAAGGAAAC